TCCAACGGCCACCTTGGCATATATTTTTTCTCACTAGAGAAAAAGAGTTGACTGTCTTTGCCAAATGGACCCCTTAAAAGATTAATTTATTTCCAGTATATATTGCCTTTTAAAAAAAGACACCAACTTTTACATAAAGCTGGAGTTCACATCTGGAGAACAGATTGGTTATTGCACATCTGGTTGCAATGTACCTACTAATTAACAGACGGGGATCTGGACTTGCTGATAGCCACACATCTAAGGCAATCCTGTGCCAGGGTCTCCATTACAGCCAGTTGTGAAGCTGGGCTGATGTGGGCTTCGGGATCGCTAGGTGTTGGAACAACTTCCTGGCACAGAAACTGAATCCAGTAGAATACTTATGTGCAGTCTGGACTATATACCAGGGTATTTTTAGGTACTGCATTCACCCCGATAGCAACAGTGGGGATAAAAGCCAGTAAGGCTTTTTAGCTGTTCCAGCTAGCCAGAGATCCAGAGATCTTGGTCTGCAGAATTTATTTTGTAAAATGAGATAGTATGCCAGGGAAATTCTCAGCTCCAGTAGAGCGGCATTACTGTGTGATGTTTACCTTTAAGAGCCAACTAAAAACATGGATGTACATTCAGGCCTTCCCTCCTGTCAATACTTAATTCTTCCTTTATTCTTTCTTCATTTATTATCAGTTTTATTATTGTATGTGTTATGGATGGTTTGTAAAATCTCTGTGTTTTTATTGTATATATGTTTATTGGAAGCCGCCCTGAGTGTTCGAACAGACCAGATGGGCGGGATACAAACCAAACCAAACCAAACCAAACCAAACCAAACCAAACCAAAACCAACCAACCAACCAACCAACCAACCAACCAACCAACCAACCAACCAACCAACCAACCAACCAACCAACCAACCAACCAACCAACCAACCAACCAACCAACCAACCAACCAACCAACCAACCAACCAACCAACCAACCAACCAACCAACCAACCAATCAATCAATAATGTATTTACTTAAACTCATTGTATCTTTTGGGTTTTGAATGTGAATATATGGTTAATGTGCACTGTCTGCTCACTTTATTATTCCATTGCTTTTTAAATCCCATTATTGGGCTGTTTATTTGCAGTTACAACATATACACTTAAAACAGCAGCTACGATGTTAATTACAAACATTTTGCTAATATGAAGATCAGCGTTTATGAAAATGGACTTTCCAAAGGGAAAGCAAGTGAAAAAAAAGTTTGGGAACTACTGGCCTACAACACCTATTAACCTGAGCTAGGATAGCAACGATAAAGGATTGTGGTAATCACAGTCCCACCATATCTGGAAGGCCACAGGTGCCCACCCTCTGACATAAGGAATGATTCAATTCTACATTGCAGCCTTGTTCTATACATTTCAAGCGTCCTGGTCAAGGCATGAAAATGAAGTGGAAACTCAGAATGTGATAGTTGGCCATCCCATTGGCTAAAGATTCTCAACCATGAGAAATAACAAGCCATGATGCCAAGGCCTTACACACAGTCAACAACTATAGGAGGAAAACTTGATGGTTTGATCACCATGCTTTTTTCACAAATTGCAGGATGGTAGTGATGGATGATTTCATTCATTTTTGGCCCCAGCAGCTGCTATAGGTTATTAGACCAAAACAGAAATCAAAACAATACTAAACATATCTATACAACCACTTCTGCTTTTTCTTTTTGAACTGGTGGCAGAGGCCTGGAGATGCCCTTATCCTGTACCCTCTCAAACACATACCACCCTGCCTCCAGAAACAAACAAACGGAGGAAAAAAACTAAGCAATTCCTGAATACCTCTAGAAGAGGGGAAATAATGATTTCCACACTCTTTACCTGTCCACGTTGGACGTGATATTCCGGGGGAATGTTGCTAAAAAATTTAACTTTTACAAGCTTTGGGAGCACCTCTTTGTGATTCGATATAATTTCTTCATTGAATGGGATTCCAGTGGAATAAAAGAATGCCATAGTGGCCTGAACATTTCATGGAAAAAGGGAAATATCCTCCTCTTTCATCCCCCCATGATGCCCCTCTTTGAATATATGCCCACCTCACACCATCACCTCCATAGATAAATCATGCAATTCAATATAAGCCCAGTTCTAGAGTTGTGGAGGCATGAAATGTGAAAACTGAAGAACACGTCAAGCCTGTTGTGTACATTAAGAGCAGGGTCTTTGTTCTGCGTTTTGCAAGCTGTGAAGAGAAAAGATTACAGCTGCAGGCTGGGCCTGATGCTGTGAAGGTGGGTGGTTTTTTTGTTTTGTTTTGTGTCTTTGCTCCTGTTTGCCTGATTTAGACTTTTATGAACACAAGAAGCTTTACTAAGGTTGCAAATGCAAGCAAGAGAGGATGGAACGTTCAAGGCCTTTCATTAGCGTTCCACACCTTGTGTTGAGCCTTTGCTGGGGTCCCATGAGCGCATCTTCCAACTGAAGACCTTTCAGGCAATGTCCTGGACATAAAAAAAGGACCCAGTCAGACTTTGGAATTCTTGGCCGTGTAAGCTGAGAGGTTCTGAAAGCTATAGTCCAGAAAAACAAAACTTTTCCAACCTCTAGGTAAGCAGCCAATTTATAGAGACCTACTGGTAGATTTCTGGTGGTTTGTAATGCAAGGATTTCCATTTCTCATTTTATGTTCATAACAATAATTTTTAAAAATGCAGTCTGCACAGACTTATTTATCTGATCTAAGGACAAGTTGTATATTTTAGAACCTCAGTGTTCTTCAGCTGTGAAATGGACTTTATTTGTAAACGTCTGTTGGTGCAGCTGTCAATTCCTTAAAACAGCATTTCTTTTTAGCATCATCCTTGGCTGAACTTCTATGCATTTTCTAGCTTCAGGTTTATTCTTAATTTATACTGGGTCTTTGTGTAGTGCTACTGACAAATTCGAAAATTATGCTTTTGAACCTTTCCTGAGTAATAATAACAATGCAAATGTCAGATAGACACAGACTATCAGAGTGTAAAGTTTATGGAAGAGCTCTGAAAATTACTAGTAAACTAAGGTGGAAAATGTTGCTATTTGGACTATATTTCCCAGAATACCTCATCCAACATGTCTACATTGTGCCATAAAACATGACCAGACAACTTTTCCTTAATAAAGTATTACATTACATTTGCAAGTCAAGGAGGAGGGTGTATGGCATCGCTTACATGTCATAACTGTAATTTTTTAGTTAGTATAGTTGTGTGAAGGGGTGTCTCCTTAATGGGGAGTCATCATATGGTTCATGTTTTGATCTGAACTACGTTTCATGCTCTGTTGTGAGTGCTGAAGAAATGATAAAGTGGGCAGAGTGCATTGAGCAGCTAGAAACACTTCTTTTAAAAAATAAGCAAAGTAACAGTTTCATTTAGTTTTGAGAAGCTTGAAAGCAAGAACTTAATTTTCAAGAACTGTAATTACAGAGGAATTAACCATTTTTAAAAATTGGAATTGTAGCTGTTGCTAACTGCTTAGAAATGACTCTCCTAGCTTTGTTTCTTGAGATGTAGTAGGTGAATGGTTCTACCTTGCTCAGTTTTTTTGAGCCCACTCTTTTTCTGCAACTGACCAGAACCGTATTATTTACATAGTGGCATAAGTCTACTAGTGCAAATGCTCAGCAGCAAGTTGTTGCTTTTTAGGAAGCTGGTTGTAGGCATTTGGTTTTGCAAAGCAATCGTGTGACTCCACCTGGTGACAAAAGCAAATACGTGCTTGATTTACTGCAATGTAACCTGCAAGTTAGGCTGATGAATTTGCAGGGATGTAATTTTTCAATTAAATTCTGGCTTCTGATTAGTGCCCTTTGAGATCTAACAGAATCATATAATAATGGAGTTGGAAAGGGGCCCAGAAGGCCGTGAAGTCCAACCCACTGCTCAATGCAGGAAGTCAGATTTAAGCGTCTGACAGATGGTGGTCTAACTTTCTTTTGGAATGCCTTCAGCATTGGGAGTACTCACCATGTCCCAAGGCATGAGAAAGGCTAAACACGCCCAGATCTTTCCGTCTTTTCTCATAGGGCTTTGTTTCCAATCCCCTGGTTGTTGTCCATCTCTGAACTTGTTCCAGTCTGTCTGCATCCTTCTTAAAGAATGGTATCCAGAACAGGACACAGTACTCAACACGAGGCCTAACCTGTGCTGAACAGAAAGGAACTAATTCCTCACAAGATCTGGAGAGTATCCACACCTTGGGGAGAGTATTTCTGTTAATGCAGCCTAAAATAGCAGTGGCCTTTTCTGCAGCTAGATAGCAGTTGGCTCATAATTTACCGTATTTTTCGCACCATAAGACGCACTTTTCCCCCACAAAACAGGGGGGGTGGAAAGTCTGTGCATCTTATGGAGCGAAGAAAACAGATTATATTTTCCTGTTTTCTTCTCCTAAAAAATTGGTGAGTCTTAAGGAAAGGTGCGTCTTATGGAGCGAAAATTACGGTAGTTTATAATCTACAATTATTCCAAGATCCTTTTCACATGTAGTATTACTGAAAACTCAAGTAGATCCCATAAACTTGCCCATTGCTAAAATAGGGTTAATGCAACTGGATCCAAAAAGGGGGTCTCTCCTTTTGCTCCTTTAGCACCAGATTGAAAAAATTTATGGATATTATAGAATTCTACTAAAGATGTCCATTAGATACAATTAGCTACAGAGAGCTGGAAGAGATAAAGGCCTTGGGCTACTTTCATCAGAAGAAAAGAACAAGAAGCCTACCTCGTTCTCTACTTCAAACTCTAGTCTTGGAAGCTGCTTTGCATAAAACCACACTGCCCTGTTTTCTGCAAAGACAGTCTTGTTTTATGCAAAGCAGCTCCTGAAAACTTCATCACAGAATGGTGGGATTACCTGATAAGGAATTCCACCCTTAGTGACTGCAATTATGATGGTGATTCTGAGATGACCAGAGCCTCACCTTAAGGATGTGGTTCACAGCTCACTTCCTTCCACGGAAAAGAGAGAAAAGAATAACCAACTGGTTCCACACCATTTTTAATAATAATAATAATAATAATTAAAAAAACAATAACAAAAGGGGTGCAACTGGCGACTGATACAAAACAAGAGGCCTTGGGCTCTGATATGGATCCTGAAGACACCTTTTACATTTGCCCTTGGCTTTGCTACATCATTCCTCCTGCTCCCCTGTGTCAGTCATTTAAAAACAGACAGACAAAAATGTAGCTGGTGATCAGCTTGGCTGGTCTTCCGGAAGAGAGTTCACTTCGTTTCTCAAGTGTGTTCCGTTTCAGCTTCGTTAATTCCTCCCACTGTGAACGTGGGGCAGGGGAAAACAAAACTGACATGCTTCGTAGTGTTCTTCCCCATTCTCTCCACGTCCTTCTCCAGTCATGTAGGCCACGTCAAAATTCTTTAAACCTGGAAAACCCAAGGAGATCTATTAGAAATATCATCTTCTCATGACTGCAGCTCTACGCAGAGAGAATAGCTGCCTTGCCCAAGGCCAGGTTTAACCAAACCACCTCCATAATTTAAGTTGAGATCTTGGAATGCATCTGAGCACTGGTGACAACTGCTTCTTTCATAGACTCATTAAAACATTTGAGTTGGGAGGGGCTTATAAGCATTAAGCAGTCCAACCCCCTGCTTAGTGCAGGAATCCACATCAAAGCAGATCTGGCAGATAACTGTCCACTTTCCTCTTGAATGCCTCCAGCACTGGAGTGATCTCCACCTCTGGAATTAACTTGTTCCATTGTTGTACTGCTCTAACAGTTACGAAGTTTTTCCTGATATGCACTGTAAATTTTAGATAGTCTTCGGAAACTTTGAGAAATGACACTGAGAAGACACAGTGGAGAATCAAACTCTTAAGCCTTGGTTCTTCAACTCACTGAGCTGTCCAGATTCTTGGGATGAAAAGAACTGGTTTCAAACCCCTCTTCAGGAATGATATTCATAGGGGGAAATCTTTTGATTGTGAAAAATCAGGAAAATCACATGGCCGTAGAAACAATACAAATGCAGGAACAGGTGATAACTTTAACCGACTATTAAGAATATATATATATTTAAAAAAACAGCAAGCTTTCAGTAATAAATCATCTTCTTCAAGACTGTGCATCAAGTTCTTGTGGGTAGCTCCAGAATTATATGCTATAATTAATGTCCCAAATTCATGTGGCTGATGGTGTAGAGGCCAGCTTAGCTTCTTAAATAGAAATGAGTGCAGTCTGCAAAAGGCCTATGGAGGGGGAAGGGGGTGTTTTATGCACTTCAGCATCAGTTACGTGGCTTTGGAACATTAATAACAGCATATAATTTTAGAGTTACCTATAAGTACTTAATGCACAGCTTGAAGAAGATGATTTATCATTGAAAGTTTGCAGTTTATTTTTTGTTTCATATTCTAGGTGGTCAATTAAAGGTATTACCTGTTTCTGCGTTTCTTTTGATTGTGGTGTTTGGAGCCAGACTACAGCTCAGTCACTACTCTAGGTTCACTCCCGAACTTTAGAGTCAGCATTCAAAGTGGGAATAAAAACAGCCAACTATGGACACTCAGATTTTCCCCAGTGGATTATGAAGTGCAAATGGACCAATGAGATAAAGATGTAAACTGAGTCCTTGCACGGTGCTCTCTTCGAAGTTCCTATGAGCCTTCCATGACCTCTCCTGAACTCATATTCCACCACCATAAAGATTGAAAGGCAACAGCCCTGCTTATTCTATCCAAAGCTGTAGAGGATCCAGAGAGGAATGATAAAGTTTTTGACTGCTGGGACCAAAGACACCAAAAAGAAGACCTATTAAGCGACACCAGAGGCATGAGGCTGAGACACTGACTTACCGTGACTTATGGCCCCAGAGCGCATGCCTACTCAAAAAGTGGTTGACCTGTAAATACAATCAACATGTAGTGGTACCAGGGCTTCTGGGAGGAGGGCAGGGAAAGGGTTATATCACACCTTTCATATTAGCAGAGATGCATATTTTAACACAGAGGTTCTCATGGATCATCTTGATGTTCAAAGAGAGCCTTTACTATCATTGATTTGCTTCTTGCTCCATGTGCCCAACCCTCACCTCTGGCAACACAATCACAGGAACCTTCCTGCTTGACAACATCACTAGATTCAAGCACTCAAAGAAGTGGGCTGCAGTCCATGATAGCATATGCCAGGTGAAATGTATTAGCCTTCACAGTGCTATCAAGACTGTTCTTGCTTCAACAGACTAACACAATTGCCTTCTTGGACAAGTTACAAACCGAGAGAATGACTTGGGTGTACCAGCTCTCAGTAGATGAGCAGTTGGGCACCAGAAATTAAACTTCTGTAGTGAGAATAATTATGGAATATATGAAATCAGAATTACAGTCTTTGTGGTTCTGGCATTCCAAACACGGAATGCCTTTATTAAAAGAAACAAGCTCTTCCTAGAGTTCAGAAAACAATGGGAAGTATAACTTTTCGAAGCTCTGGCCCTCACCTCTCCAAAAATAGTCCAGTCAAAATTGAGCATCCTCAGTAGCCCTAACACATTATCAACTTGAAAAATTAAAACTGAAAACCAGAGAGTGAGGAGCACCACGTTGGATGACAGATCTGTTTTGAACTTCAAAATAAGAGGAATCCTTTAAAGAGTTGAGGAAATGTGGCAAAATTTGGTTGCAGATCCCACTTTCATAAGCCTTAGTAGTGTTGTTTAAGGTGCTTAGGAAAGGGACTCATGGGTATATCCAAATATTTACTCTATACTGCTTGGAAGACAGAATATGGTCTTAAGGTTAATGGTATCCTTGCTCTCTCTGGCCCCAAACGGTCAATTCTGATAAATGTCTCTGCCCTTTGAACTTTCAGGAAGGATTTTTCCCCTAATCCTACCTGGTGATCTCTAGTATTACTTCGTGGTCTTCCGGCCAAATACAAACCAGGCCTGATCCTGCTTAGGTTCCAAAATTTGATGAGAGGAGAGCATGTTGAGGGTGATATGGTGTCATCTGATGTTCAACAACTGGACAGAGATGGAACAGATTTCAGGACACTGTGTGGATTGGGAAGGTTTGGGCGGTCAGCCGTCAAAATTCCTCAGCATGGTGCCCTCCAAATGTGTTAGACAACCACTTCCATAATCCCTAGCATGGCTAAAGATGGGATGATGGGAATTATATTCCAATACCTATGGAGAGCACAGGGTTGGAGAAGGCTGCTTTTGATTCTAGAGACTGGAGAAGGATCTTTCTGAATGTCTCCCAGAACTCCATAGCTGGCATGACCACTGGCTTTGCTGGCAAGAAAATCTGGGGAGCTGCAGTAAACCTAAAAGGAATATTTTAAATTTCTGGATTCCTTTTGGGAGGTACCACACATGTTCTCCTTTTCCCCCCCTTCATGCCTCTTTTGGGACAACCGCTTCAGAGAACCCCTGCCTTAAAAGTATGCCCATTTTTTCCCTATTTCTTAGTCACACACATAAAATCACCAGGCTTGGCAGATGATTTGTTAGCCTACAGAATAAGATTATTTATACAGGGCTAATGACATGCAAGAAGAGATTCAGCAGAGAAAGACAGTTCTACCACAGCACCAGCAGTTTTTCAAGACATGATTGCTGTGATTTTTTTTAAAAAATCTGGAAATCTGTTTTTATTACTATTAATTAAGGAGATTTAGCATAGAAAGAGGGAAGCATGGCAAAGACAAAGCAAACCAGCATGGGATATATTACAGGTAATGCTTGGCTAGATGTTTTTGAATTTAAATACTTGTTTCAAAAGTCCTGCACTGCTCACTAGAATTGGAAAAAGCTTATCTAGCTAAATGTCTGTACTATTTCAATGTAAACTGGGCTGCAATCCGCAGAAGCTGGCTCCAGATAAAAGCTGTTAATCCTTAGTAAAGCTTAGAAAAGCTACTTTTGAAGACTACAGGATCACTCCCAGAATCCCTCAGCCAGAGAAGCTCTTGGTTTGTGTCAACTGGAGAATTCTGGGAATCATAGTTCAAAAAAGGAAAAAGAGGGGCTATTTTTCCCAAGCTCTGATCTTTAAGGTACTAGAAGAGTCATTGTTTTCGAAGAAGGTCCCTCTGGCGTTTCCAGTACAGTATGTGCTGGAGTTTAGTTTGAAGGAAACGAGTGTCTGCCTTCAGAATAGCAACATTCTAATACCTGTCCTAGATCTATAAAAAGAATATACTCTTACTAGCTCATGGTGGTGCTAGTCTTTGTTTTCAACAAATACAGTGGTGCCTTGCTTTACGATTGCCCCACATTATGACAAATCCGCTTAATGATGATCTTTTTGCAATCACAATTGCGATCGCAAAACGATGGTCTGAATGGGGGAATTTCGCTTTGCGATGATTGGTTCCCTGCTTTGGGAACAGATTCTTCGTAAAATGACGTTTTTTGAACAGCTGATCGGTGGTTTCAAAATGGCCACCGGGCGATTAAAATGGCTCCCCACTGTGTTTAGGGACAGATGCCTCGCTATACAGGCAGCGAAAATGGCTGCCATATGGAGGATTTTCACTGGACTGTGAGTTTTTACCCCCATTGGAATGCATTGAATGAGTTTCAATGCATTTCAATTTGTTTTTTCTGCTTTATGATGTTTTCACTTAACGGCGATTTTCCTGGAACAGATTGTCGTCGTTAAGCAAGGCACCACTGTATCCTAGAGAAAAACTCAACAAGGACATTCTGTTGGCTGCCACTGTGTTTTTGTGGCTGTGGCCCTAACGGTAATGTCCAGAAAGTTGATTTAAATGGGGCACTCTGGAGTAGGCCTGAAAAGGCCTGCTGCCTAGAGCTGCAGACAGCACCAAGACAAGGCCCTGGCCTATGCCATGAATGCTGGGGAAGCACTGCCTTATGAGGGGAACCTTCCTGGATGCCATTTTGTTGGGGGCTCATTTAACTCTGCATCTAGTCATTGATGCAGGAACCTCACTGTCTAAGGGAACTTAACTAAACCATATAAAAACTGTGGATTCAAATCTTGCTTGCTCTTACTGAAGACTGCCATGTTCATTTAGTCCACTGATGACTGGGTGTCTATTTTGCTGGAACTATGCCTGTAGACACTGTGAGATTTGGTGCAATCTAGCCGGTGTTTAAAAGGCCCTTATCTTCAGTGCAATCTATTTCAACTCTTGGTACCCATCTGCAAAGGCAGAGGGAAGAAAAAAAGCTATTTTGCATTTCAGTGAACCGTGCCAAAAAGATTGCATGCTCTAGCCTTGTGCCAGAAAGATACGGGCCAGCTCTTAAAGGGGGAGGACAGATTGTTTTAAGTAGAAAAACAAGAGGACAAGGTCTTTTTTTTTCTGTGCCAAACAGTGCTATCAGTTATAGCATAATAACTATATGACAGTGTGAAGGTACTTTGGGCCAAAAGGTTCACTAGGCCAAAGTACCAGTAGAAATGGCTGAGAGTTAAACCTTTTCCTGAGAAAATGGTTTTCCTCAGAGAAATGGCTGAGAGTTAAGCCCTTGACATTGCTTTCATCCACAGATATTCTGTATGCTGTCATGCTTTGCTTTTCCTCACAGATTACCCCAGCCACAGCTTGTTCACTTCACAGATACAAAAGAGAAAGAAGAAAACCAGGAAGACAGAAAGAAAATCAGACACTGAAATCTTCACATTTTCTCCTCTGTTAAATGGGAAGAAAAACAAAGGACATACTCACACTCCAAACTATTTTGTATCCAACACTACTGGGTGAGTTAATGCCACACAAGAGCTAAGAAGACACACGGAGGAGAAGGATGTTGTTAGTACTTGTTAAGAAGATGTGGTGGTGGTGGTGGGGTTTGAAGCTCTATGTAGAATTAGGGTTTTTTGATATGGCCACTTGGCTCCACTTGGCTCCTTGATGCAAGAGCCTAAAAGTAACACTGTAGGCACCACCTGGGACTGAAAAGTATCCTTCCATGGTGGAGCTAAAGATATGGTGGAAACATTCAGACGATCGTTATCATAGCATAATAAAAATTAAACCTACCCTCGTTTTCTAGTGTAGCAGCCACACCATCCACGGATTTCTTTGAATACCACACGGGAAAGGAGCTGGGGAAAACATACTCAAAATCAGTCTTTTTGCAGTAGCTTTCTGTAGGGAGTTGAAGGCAATTTTACTTTGATCACAAGTACAGAGAAAGAGAGAACCTTTGGGAGGTCTCATATTAATGTTGCTTCTCTTTCGTCATCGCTTTGATTCTTCAGCCCCCGTATTCTCAGCTCTAACTGGCAGCGGTAGTCCTGGGTCTCCTATATCAGAGGTTGTCAACCGCCGGCCCACAACCTGGTGCCGGTCCGTGGCCTGAGCTGGACTGGGCCATGAAGACAGACCTCCTGCCCCACCCCCCGCACGCACTTACCCCTGCAAAGGCTGTTTGCAGCTGCGCATGCACTCGTGCACATGCATGGACGGTGGTGTGGCGCTTGTGCGGGCACTCTCTCGCCCACCCCCTGCATGCACTCACCCCTGCAAAGGCTGTTTGGAGCTGTGCATGCGCTCGTGCACATGCATGGATGGTGGTGTGGTGCTTGTGCGGGCACTCTCGTTCGTGCACATGCTGTTCATGGATGCGCATGAGTGTGGGCACGCCCACACAAACACCGTGCCGCCATTCACACATGTGTGTGAGCATGCAAGCAAGTGCGCTCGTTCGCATGCACTCACCCCTGCAAAGGCTGTTTGGAGCTGTGCATGCGCTCGTGCACATGCATGGATGGTGGTGTGGTGCTTGTGCGGGCACTCTCGTTCGTGCACATGCTGTTCATGGATGCGCATGAGTGTGGGCACGCCCACACAAACACCGTGCCGCCATTCACACATGTGTGTGAGCATGCAAGCAAGTGCGCTCGTTCGTGCATGTGCATGAGCATGTGGGTGCCCCGCCTTCCCGAGCCAGTCCGCAGGGTGAAAAAGGTTGGGGACCCCTGTCCTATATGACACTTTGTCACCACTTGCATACTGAAATCCTTCTAAACGGAGGCATCCTGCACCAAACCGTAGATCACCTACATATAAAGCATCTTATTATACCACCAAACTCTTGGTTCTTCCCAACACAGGCCAAGGCTCCCTCTAGAATACAGTTTTATTGATGGAACTATGGTCCCAGTATAGTTGGGCGGGACTTACCTTTGATTTACAACAGCAATGGTGATGTGGCGGTTCTCCAGATATTGCTGAACTACATGCTTTCACCACTGCGGACTACTGACTATGCTAGATGAGGCTGGTAGGGGTTGAAAGCCCACAGGACTGTGGCAGAAGGACTACTGGGTCTTCACCCGTGGTTTGCAGAATCAAGAGGATATACAGTGGTGCCTCGCAAGACAAATGCCTTGCCGCATGAAAAACTCGCAAGACGAAAGCGTTTTGTGATTGTTGTGACTCGCAAGACGGCTTTTTCTATGAGCGTGCTTCACAAGACGATTTTTTTCCTACAAGAATTGTGACTCGCAAGACGGCTTTTTCTATGATCCTGCTTCACAAGACAATTTTTTTCCTACAAGAATGATGCCTCACAAGACGAAATTAATTAATTCATCTTGTGTGGTTTCCCTTAGGAATGCACTGATGAAATTAATTCATTCATCTTGCGAGGTTTCCCTTAGGAATGCATTTCAATTCACAAGACGAAAACTTTGCAATACGACGCTGCTTGTGGAATGAATTACTTTTGTCTTGAGAGGCACCACTGTATACATGGTACCAGCAATACAGTGACTGGGTTCCCTGCAGTCGACCAGCAACTGAATCATACTTCAGCACTTACAGCAGAGATGGGGGCACACTCCACTTTTAGATGGCAGCTGCCAGACTGCCATAGCTAGCCTCCTCATTGCCATGCTACTTGCATGGTTTAGAGAGCTGTAGTAAAAAAAAAGATGCAACATCTTCCATCTTTCTAATCTCTGCATCCACAGCTGAGACAGGAGGCTACCTTATGAGGATCAAGATGGACTTACAAAAAAGGGGGAAGATCTGGGGTATTAAGAGGAATAACCTCAGCATCTGTTTGCCCAAAGTGGTCTCTCTCTTTTACTCTTTCTAATGCTGAGGCCAGCCCCAGTATGGTAGGAAAAAAGGAACTCACTAGGCATGCCAGCACGTCAGCAGTTATCAACATGTAGAAGACATTGTCCCAGCTGGAACGGGAGATCACACCTGCCAGCAGAGGTCCAAGAGCAGCACCTGCAGAATGAAAGGAACAGTACAAAGGATCTGCAAGCCAACAGGCAGGAGAGAAATCCAGCACCTTTCACTTTGAAGGGCCCTGGTGGAATAGACCGCTCATTTTAGACATGAAGGGGAGAAGGCAGAGGGTCAAGAGGTGATCAACAGATGGGCATTATGGAGAAATGCCGTGCTGGATCTAGCCTAAAATCCGATACCAAACATTGGATGCCCATACATACTTGGGAAAGTCACATGCAGCACATAATGATGGTAGCAATTAGTGATCTCTGAACATGGGGATTTCGTTCTTAGTTAACATAGCTAACTGCCACTCATAGCTTAATGTGCCAAAGAAGCAGCTCTTGAAAGTGCAGTCATGTTAAAGAAAAGCATGGATTTGTGCACACATGTGTGCACATCCCATTGGGACTGGGCAATGTGGAATTAGCTTTGTCCATTTGCTGAGCGAATTCACAAAATGAAGCTGTCTGGCTCTTCCTAGCTGGATTTAAGGTAGGAACAGGTCCCAGGTGTGGTGCTACAAATTAGTTTTCATCGTAGTTCTCTGGGGTTGATAGAAAAAACTCTTGTCTCATTGCAATCTGTGATGGAGTTGAAGCAGTGTGGGATATGTAGTCAGAAATGTTAAGATGGAGTCAGACAGGTTCTGTGTGCAGATGATTTGAGAGACATTGGAATGTGTGTGGGGTTTTTTTTTGCAATCAATTAGTACATTTAATTAAAGCTGTATCAATTGTAATCTTCAGCACCGTGGTAAATGCTTTGAGAGGGTTTTTCTGAAGACCAGTACAGCGTGGTTTGAGATAAGGATGAAGGTTGAACAAAGAGGCCCGTGGAAGACTCAACATTCCAAGCTAATTGGAGAAGAGATAAAACACTTGGATTTCCATGGGAACTGAGAGTGGAGGAAAGTGTTACTGCCCCTTGAGGCTAATTGGTTAACAGCCATGAAGTGTCAAGAAGAAGGGAGGAATTAGAGAAGGTAGAAAATGGATGATGGGTTATGTTGAAAAGTTCAATTCCATGCTGATGGGAGAGAAAAAGAACTTGATGGTTTGAGCATGTGGCTTGAAGGTGAGAGAATGCAAGTAAAGAGAAACCAGGAGGTGGGGGCTAGCCCACCTTAGCCCAACTTAGTAGTGTTTTTTTAAATTTTAATGGGGATTAGTTATTTTATTTAACTGTAATAATCTTTGAATATGTTCTTTATGCTGAAGCTTGAGCAATATAAGTTGATTCTATGAAATTCTATTTTTCTAATAAAAATTAATTATAAAAATTCTTACAAAAGGACTGGTCTCTTGAACAGCAGGGTCTGGCTAAATCCAGGAGGTGGAGAGGGCCACAAACTAGCTATCTTTAAGAGTCCTACCTAACTGAGCTGTTGTGAATTCTAAGGAAGCACAAAGCCCATGTGCCTGTACTTGCAAAGTACTGGGTAAAAGTAAAGTGTTCTTTTAAGGTCAGGCTTGTTCAAGGGGCTTACGCTACGCACGGCTGAGGTCTTGGGATTTGCCTCAATGCAAAGGTGGTAGGTAAGTGGCCTGTGGAACTCTCTGACCGAGTGCTAAGCGCTTCTTAGGGAGCCTTGGGCACCACACAATCTATGTCCTGCTGAGGCTTCTCAAAATAAAATGTCATGTTTGACTCAGATTCAGCTTCTGTACTTTCAAGTTACTGACCTACAGATCCAGTTCCATCTATGATTGCTGTAACCGTGGAGAGGGCCTTTGCATTACCCTGGAGACTTTCATGAGTACCCTACAAGAGAAGAGAGCAACAATTAATAAACAAGTTTTAAGGGGAAATAATTTTTTTATTGTTGTTTAGTGCAGTTCCATGTGTTTATGCTTCTTCCTGTAGAGGAGAGATGAGGAAACTCCTGGCCTTCTTATGATCCAGCCCACCATTATTTTCCCCCACTTTTGGAGTTGCAGTTATAAAGTTCTAATTAAAAAAAAACTAGAACCAAATAAAGTCTTGCCCATCTGTCCCCAAGCTGTCCCCAATCATCCCTGAGTGCAGGACATGCAATAATGGGCTCAAGTTACAGGAAGCCAGATTTCAACTGAATATCAGGAAAAACCTCTTAACCCAATTACCTCGAGAAGTGGCTCCAACACTGGAGGCATTCAAGAGAAACTTAGACAACCACCTGGCAGACATCCTTTGATTTGTATTCCTGCACTGAGCAGGGAGTTGGGATTTGATCACCTTATAGGCCCCTTCCAACGTCACTATTCTATGATTCTATTATCCTTATAATGACAGCTAATGGCATTACGTACTTCAAAAACAAAGATCCCAAGGCAGGAATATTTCTATCTACAGTATTTAGAATGTCCTGACTCAAAGTTTTTTTTCTGCATACAGTTATTCACTGTGGACAAAGACTGGCCAAAGGACAATTCTGTAGCTAGAACTTCTGGAGAACCACATTAACGCCCTCTCCTTGCTTGAAAGGACATTAAAAATTTGTGTTGCAGAGGGAGGAAAACTTCAAAAACAGAGTTGAAGGGGCTGACTCTCAGTTGAGATACAAAATCAATCATCATGCCGCGAGGTTAAGGCCTACCTACATGTTGTGCTTGGTATGCAACATATAACTAGAACTCAAGTTTCATTCAATTCAGTGTCTTCCAGATGTTTTGGACTGCAACCCCCATCACAGGGCAATGATAGTGGGTGATGGGAATTATAGTGCAACAATCTGGAGGGTACATTGTTAGGAATGGCTGTTCCCATTTATTATAGACACAGGCATGGGATATTGAAAATTCATGCCATGATTATAGGGAGATTTGTCTCTTCCCTCCCAGCATGACTGGGACAAAAATCACAACCCCCTCTAGTCCAGATAGAATACTGAGACATTGTTGGGTTTTAGTGATGTCTGTTGGATGGGAAGAGATAAGCTTACTCTCCCCTTCTGTTGTTTGTTGGATTCCCGCCCCTGCCGGTACCTATCACTATACATTTCTCAGTAAAAATAACAGCAAGCTACTCATTTCAGTTTGGTCATATTTTAGTTTAGTTTTTATTTTGATCTTCAAGTTGTACGTCAAAAGTCCTGAGGAGGGAACCCTTCCCAGTGACTCTGGTTCTTACCAAGTCAGCTGAAACTGCTGTTGTGATGAGAGCGTAAGGTCCATTAACAAGGCCACCACAGATGAGTAACATGACTGCAAAAGGAAAGAGGAGACTATCAGCAGTAAAACTCAATTACCTTGCTCTCTAAACATGCATTCTACTAGTCAAGCCATGAAGAAATAGTGGCTTCTTGCATTGCTTCCTATGCCTTTCCAGGTATAATCTACCCAAACTAGCTAATAATAGAGTAAATATATTTATAAATACTATCTGCCTATCTGTATCTATTTAGATCTACATCTGCACCATCTATAGTACATCTAAACAGATGTATGAAAATGCATTCAAAACAATCCAAATATCTATGATGCACCACCATGAAAACAAACACAGATGAGCAAAACTATATTTTTAATTAAGCATTAATAAAAACATTAAGCACAATTGCCGGTTGTGGACATGTCTTCCCAGGCCTGTAAATCACCCACTTCTGTCATTAAAATTAAAGGTGATTAAGGCGAGACAGAATGCTCTCAGAGTCCAACAGTCCTGGGGCCATACTGCCAAGATCTGCCATTGTCAGGAATAACTAAAATGTACTCCAGTCTTACCTATTGAGATGGCTAGACCATTCTGACCAATGTGGTTGTATAAAAACAGCTGGAAAAGAAAGACAGACAAGGAGTGAGAATGTCCAAGCTGAAAAACACCCTTTGTAGAAGTTGATAGCTATGCACTTTAGTGCTCGAATCTTTGTTAGTCTATGTTTCAATGGGCTATACTTCAATGGAATATCCCCCCACCCCACCTCCATTTTTCATCTATCCGAGAACCAAGATACCTGTTCCCACTTCTGATCATGAAAAGGAAACCCTCTCAAACAGAAAAAAGCCCTTTGTAGAAGGGATGGTCAGCAGCTCCAGGCTCCCCCAGGTGATAAGCACAGATGAACAGACAACAACCTGTGCTCTACACTAGTGGTCTCCAACCTTGGGCCTCCAGATGTTCTTGGACTACAACTCCCAGAAGCCTTCACCACCACCTCTCCTGGCCAGGATTTCTGGGAGTTGAAGTCCAAGAACATCTGGAGGCCCAAGGTTGGGGACCACTGCTCTAGAAACATACTACACATTTCCATCACCCCTGCCCCACCTTGCAAGGTACAGGTACATCAAGAAACGATAAACAGTGTGGGCTAAGGATGAGAGAAATAACGAACACACTTCAGTTTTGCGGGATCTACTTTCATTTTAACATCACCTTCTTATCCCTCTTCTGGAAGTTGGGCATAATCATGGATGTGGCCACCTAAAAGAATGATGCTACACTGCACTGAAGCCAGGTTCGTTAGCCAACTGGATCCTGAGCTTCCTGCAATTCACCAACCAGCCCTCTCTCTATAGCTGACTCCTCCAGGTTTTGCAGCCAAAGAGCTAGCTAACTCTTCTTCCAATGAGTTTGTCTTCTCGTCAGTATTGTCATGTGCTGTTACCTGCTGCTCCTTTATTCATCCTTTATGCTACCACCTGCTTGCTTGCCATGCAGAAAGCAGAAGAGAAAGCTGTCAGTGCTCCTCACGCACGACCCCCCTGCTGTCTGGGCCAAGCAAGGTGAACAAAGAGGTTGCCAGCAGATTGGAAAAAGGGGAACAGGCCAGTTGCTCACCCAGGGGAGTGGGTGCTTGAACTATCTGATCCTGGAATGATTCTGGTTTCCAGCTTCTGCATCTAGAGGTGCTCTGAGGATACTCACCATGGGAGCAGCCACAATGAGCATCACACAGCATGTGGTGGCCCTGCCACCAGTGTAGTCAGAGATGAGGCCGGCCAGGATGCCTCCTGCAAGACAAAGCCACAGGTCATTTTTTGCAGCCTGACCAGAGTGGAGAACGTCAGATCCAACAGCTGGTCTCACGTTGTGAATATGGTCCTCCTGGCTAGAATTCTATTCTAGATTTTACTCTAGAGCAATTGAAACTCACGGTAGCAAATTGCTCCTAATTAACAAGATGCATGACTGCACAAATCTGTGTATGACTGGCACATAACCACACTGTGCAATGCTCTGGTACAAATAAAGAAAAAGCACACAAACCATCTGCACCTTGTTATTAACTACAATTTGCAATTAGTTACAATGTACAATATATGATTTCACTTAATAATAATTATTTGCTGTCAAGTCAGTTCTGACTTAAGAGATCCTTTTCAGGGTTTTCTAGGTAGAGAATACTCAGAAGTGATTTTCCCCTTCCCTTCTTCTGAGGGGCAACCTGGGACTGCGCAGCTTGCCCAAGGCCGCACAACCTGCCTCTTCTGGCAGGAAGCACAGAGTCCCAGTTATACGGAGCATCTGCAATTGCACAACTGCTCTTTTCTTGTCGATGCTACACAAGTGGAATGTCAGGGGACGAAGCTTACAGGGCGGGCATCATGTCAGTGGTGTGGCCCCCTTTCCAAGAGCAACAGGCTTTCTTCTCCCAGGAAAATGGCCCCCTCGTATAATAGCTGCCTCCTATTACTTCTCCCAAGATTGTCCTCTCAGCTATCAATTCATCATTCTTCCTCTCTTCCCAAAGGAAGTCAGAGCCCGGACATGTTCTTTTTTTTTTGAACAAGCTCCCAGAATCTCCCCCCCCCAGACAGCATGGCTGGGGAGGGGACTTTGAAAGCTGTAGCACAAGAAGTCATTTTTCCCAAGCTCGAAGGAAAATACTACACTACACTTGATCTTAGTCAAAGGGCCCAAAAAGCCTTTTATGAAAATCAGTGCAACCAACCAACAATGCCGCCAGCGTCAAAGAGAGTGGACATATCTCCGGCCTCTTTTGCTGTCAAATGAGCTGCAGAAAAGAAAAACAGAAGATGATGACTGGGTGAGCAGGGATGAACCCGCCCTGGTCTTGTTTGGTAGCAGATCTCAGGTTTGGCAGGCAGGAGCACCTAGAAATTCAAACATGACTAGTTCAGGAAAAACAAGTACAAAACAGTTAGCAAGTCTGGCATGCCCTCTCTCAGCCTGCAACCCAGCAATGCTGCTGCCGGTCAGAGTTGGCCAGACTGAGCTAGATGGATGGACTGGTGATCAAAAGCTGCTTTGTGCATTCAAAAACTACAAAATAGGAGAACGAGGGTCCAACGAAGATAGGACAACATGCATGCCGTTAGCAACTGCATTATTTAAAAAGTATTTAGTGATCCTTGTGGGATTCAATCTAAATTAGGAAGTGGGAGCTATCCAGGCAGGAAGACCTATATCGCATATATACAGTGGTGCCTCGCTTAATGGCGATAAACCGTTCCAGGAAAATCGCCATTAAGCGAAAACTTCGTAAAGCGAAAAAGAAAAACCCATTGAAACACACTGAAACCCCTTCAATGAGTTCCAATGGGGTCAAAACTCACTGTCCAGCAAAGATCCTCCACAGGGCAGCCATTTTTGCTGCCTGTCTTGCGAGGAATCCATCCCAGAAAACAGTGGGGAGCCACTTTGTTTACCCACCGGCCATTTTGAAACCACCAATCAGCTGTTTTAAAATTGTCGTTTTGCGAAGAATCGGTTCCCGAAGCAGGGAACTGATCATTGCAAAGCGAAAAAAACTCATTTAGACCATCGTTTTGTGATCACAATTGTGATCGCAAAAAGACTGTCGTAATGTGGTTTCATCGTAATGCAGGGCAATCGTAAAGCGAGGCACCACTGTATATATATTTGTGCGTGTGGATGATGATGATGATGGAGGAGCCTTCCACAGCTTTTTGTGACTTACCCACATTCACAATGTAGAGGGGCAGCCAGTAGAGGAACGTGTAGCTGACGAGCTTGGCGAACAAGAGGCAGAAAGAGAACTCCACCACTCCCTGCAGGGGCGAGAGGGAGTTGGGTCAAAGTTAATGGGAGGGACATAAATGCAGGCTCAGCTGCCCAAAGCCCGTTGGCAGAGAGAAGAGCCAAAACAGAGGGGACACAGAAACAGGAGATCCATCAGTACATTCCCCCACGCCATATGCAACACATCCAAAAGCAAATAGCTCTGATTTGGGGCCAGACAAAGGCGGAGAGGGTGGTGTTTAACGCTTCCTCCTTTCCCAAATGATAGGCCAAAGCAGGATGTGAAAGAGTCATGATCGGATTGGCCTACTTTGTTATTCTTACTGACAGAAGCACCCCTGATATGAAAGATAGAGCATTGGCAGCAGTGCTGGCTAAGGGTTACTGGAGCTGTGGTACCCCAAAAAAGACCATTCTCTTTTTTGGAGGGGGGGCTCTGTCCAGGTGAAGTGATGGGCCATCCACTTTCCCCTGCACAGCTGCCCAGATCGAAATCCACAGACAGACCTTGCTATCAGCTGGAAAGCAGAACATAGATCAGCAGGAAAGAAGTCATGCCCCATTAGGCCATAAAATCACGCCCCTTCGTGCTGCTACCTGTGTTGCCACATATACAGCCATGGCACTTATTCCCCACAAGGGTGCGAGTGGAGTGAAAAAATGTAGATCCATCTTCCATCTGAAGGAGAAGGATCAACACTGCTGTTCCAATCGATTTTTTCTCACCCTCCGCTGTCCGCACACACAGCTATTTTTTGTTTCTTTAAATAGTCTGGAAGCGCCATCAGAGATTCTCATTTCTCTTTCCCTTCTCCCTCCTCAATAAACATCAGCTACAACTGAAAAGGTTCTTCGTATTGACTTGCTTTCATGTTGTGTTTTAAGTCATACTATTTTGCCTCAACCTGTATTTTACTTCTGTTAGCGGCCTGGAGTTGCTATTTTGTGGCCCAACGATGGGGTATGAATTAATTAAATAAATAATAAAAGAAATGGATCTGCTCTGGATGCTGTACTTACTGGTATCCGGAGGGCACCAATGAAACTGATAGCTTCCCGGTCCTCTGTGGATTCCTTGACATTTTCAGACACATCGATTATGTTTTCCCGACTGTTGGTGGAGACGTTCAAGCTCCCATCACTGATGGAACTACCTGCTTCAAGACCTTTCTCATCTGAATTGGCAACCTGAGAGACAACAAACACCTCAGAAATTTGGTGTGTATGGGTATCTACTGCAAAATAAGCTTCGTTGACACGAATTGGGGCTTACTCCCAGGAAAATGTTACGAGTTATTTTAACCTTGTCGGCTGCTGCCTTTGCTGGGTTGGGCTGGGACAGGCCTTTTTGGGTTGGGATGATGGTCAATCAACCCAGGAGTATTCTTTCCCTGTTTCTGGTTTCAAAGAGAGAGCCACACCTCTCTGCCTAAGTGTTTTTCCCCCTCTTTTTTTCAGTCTGCTGGCAGTTAGTGTGGTTAGAGTGGAATCTGCAAGAGTCTGCAGGAAGTAGTCAGCAATGAGCCTGTTGAAACATGTTGCCGTAAGCAATTATTTTTGTACAGCGTGCTGTTTTTGATCTGTTCAACTGAAGTACAGCGTGCTGTTTTTGATCTGTTCAAGTGAAAGTAAATGGAAACCTTTTTATTCTTACCAATGTCTCAGAGTGGATTATTGAGAGAGTAAGTGCCAGTTAATGAGACAATAAGAAGTGGTCTACTCTGGGGAGACTTGAAGCTAGTTCTGCTCTATAAGTCCCTGCAATTCTGCTGTGCAGCTGGAGGTTTTTAACAAGAAATTCAAAACTCTGCAAGAGAAAATGCATCTTGCCTTGCCATCTAAGAAAAAGAAAGATGTGGAAAAACTCACATGGTGAAGGGGTGGGCTGCAGTCAACGTCTTCAGGATCTGAAAGAGAAGGAGACTTCATTAGAGAAGGACTCCTCAGTTCTGGAGAGAGATGGCAGGTGCATTTAGTGGGAGTATTCTTATTCAAAAATCTCTCCAGCAACTATGAGAATGGGGATTACAGTCGTGCCCCGCTTTACAATTACCCGTTTAATGATGAATCCACTTGATGGTGAGGTTTTTCTGATCGCTTTTGCAATCGCAAAACGATGATTCCAATGGTTTCTTTTCATTTAACGATGATCGGTTCCCTGCTTTGGGAACCAATTTTTGCTTTACGATGATCAAAAACAGCTGATCGTCGGGCTTCAAAATGGCTGCCGGTTGAAGAAAATGGCCCCCACTGTGCTTAGGGACGTATTCCTCACTGCACAGGCATGGAAAATGGCCACCCCATGGAGGATCTTCGCTGGACGGTGAGTTTTCAGCCCATTGGAACGCATTGAACGGTTTCCAATGCATTTCAATGGGCTTTTTTATTTCGCTTTACGACGTTTTAGCTCTACAGCGATTTCGCTGGAACAAATTAATGTCATTAAGCGAGGCACCACTGTGTGTGTGTATATGTGTATGTGTGTGTGTGTGTGTGTGTATGTATGTATGTATGTATGTATGTGTATATATATCAGAAAGAAAACAAAAACAAAGATGAGATTACATGCGATGACTTTGGTTGGAATCCTATGTCCATCTACACAGGAGCAGATCCTATTGCCAGAAACCCAGTAGTAACTCACAACACATGTGGGCCCACTGAATCAGTGGGGCTCCGGTGAGTCATCTCCTCTGTAAGATCCATGGATTCAATGGGCCTACTCTAGTTGCAATTTACTATTGGATTTCACAGGCGCTACTGCTGAATGGCTCAGTGGTTTAGACATTTGATTCTCCACTGTGACAGGGGGGCTGAACTCGATGATTCACAGGGTCCTTTCCAGCTCTACAGTTCTAAGAATAAGTACAAACTTGGTACAAATTTCTCAGCAAACGTGAGTAAGACCTGCATCCCTCGTTTCCAGCTGCCAGCGCTCCTGATTCACCTCCCCTACAGAAAAAGTTACGATACTTGAGAGAACGTGCAGGCGCACAGAGTGCCCAGATGAGAAACGCCAGGTTCCTATATCTTGAATCATCATCCCCCTCTTTCTCCTCCTCCTCCAAAGTAGTGACTCTGATTGTGCCGTTTCTGGCATTTATAGCCTAAGTTTCACCCAAGACATTGCACACCTGATCCTCCTTCCCCTTCCCATTTTTACCACTAGAACCACCCAGGAAGGCAGGGGTAGGGGCTGGATTATAGGGGGAAGGATAGTCCAAGGCCTTCCCTAAAAGGAGAGGGAGGAGTGTCTGCTGGCACAGCTTGGCACGGCACAGGGTTCTGCGCAGCCATAAAGGGGGAGTGCAGTCCACAAACTCAGCCAGCTTTGATGTTTTTTTAACTACAACTCCCAACATCCCCAGCCAGCTAACATTTCCAATGTAAGCCGATTACACAACCCCCAAAGCAACTGAGGTGGGTGGGCGGAATCTACTGCCCTTTGGGCAAATTCTTTTTTGGAAAATGGTCAGTTTCTCTTCCTGAACTCCTCTACGAACGGTCCTTTTGCATTAAGACAAGGCATGGGCCATGTTGTTCTGCCTTCTCCCCAATGAAACTCGAAGTGTACATTCAATAACTTCGGCTCTCTTTTCTTTTTCCCTCTTCCTCCTTCTTTCCCTTTTCTTCTTTTTCCTTCTGCATTTTCTGGGCTGGTTCAGCCCACAGTGGATCTTGGGGGGCGGGGAGTTGATCACTGACATCTAGCACTTGTCTGCCCCCTGCATTTCAGGTACAGATGGTCTCTACTAGATGTGCTCACCTGAAAAGCACACTACTAACAGATCAAGTAAGGCAGGGAAGAAAGCATTTGGATATATTTCTGCCACTAGGTGGCAGCATGAATATGCCTATGTAAGGAATGTTTCAGGCATACTGTATATATATTCCCTGACCTTACTATGCATGCATATATATATATTCCCTAACCTTACTATGGGTTCAGTTACAGAGGTTTTAGTGAGCCAACCTCTGTAAGTTCTACTGAGCTGTAATCTCAATAGACAATAGTTGGCAGAGCTGACCAAGCACAAGAACAGGACAGTGGTGCGTCGCAAGACGATTTTAATTCATTCCGTGAAAATCGTCGTCTTGTGAAAAAATCGTCTTGCAAGGTTCCCTATGCATTGGTCTAAAAAAAAAGTCTTGCGAAGCATCAGTCTCAAAAAAAAAAGTCTTGTGAAGCACGGTCATAGAAAAAAAGTCTTGCGACGCATCATAGTGATCGCAAAAAACAATTGTCCTGCGGGTTTTTCATCCCACGAGGCAATCGTCTAGCGAGGCACCACTGTATTTTGGTTTATTCACACCAAGCAGTATATACTTAGGTAAAAATCTTGATCCCAACAGAGGTAAGGTAATTTCAGAATCTTTTTGATCCAGATTAATGTACTCTTGTAATTTTAGGCCATGATCTTCAAAACAGAGTAGGAAAGTTCACATAGTGATCTAATGTAGAAGCAATTTTGAGTACTTCTCTCCACCCCACCCCACTCCCCGCGCAGTTCAGGAGGAGGAAAACAATCACTGTTCTCACTCTGAATTATCTTTTAAAATACTTTTGTTACACCGTGTCACACTGAAGCCCTTGCTCAGAATGCACCCAGGCCTCACTGTGACTAATTTTATCCCCACACCTTGCCCCCATCTGTACACCACCCCCTCAATAAGATCCTAGCTTTATAGCATGATGACCAGGTGGCTCAAATGTGTGAAGGATCAATGACTCAGCACAGTGCCCAAAACTCACATTCGATGAGAAACAAGAAGCAGACGACGCCCATGGCGGCTATGATGATCCCTGGCACGATGAATGACAGGCCCCATGCAGTGGACACCCAGGTGCCAGCAATCAAGGACCCCAAGATGTTCCCGACAGATGTGTGTGAATTCCAGATGCCCATGATCAAGCCGCGCCTGGCAAGAGATACAAGAGAGAAGCTTAAAGGCTGGCCTTTCTATTTGCCTGAAAGAAAGGTTGGTAGGGTTCTGAATGGCCCACTTCAGGCATAGACCCAAAGGCAAAGCTCAGAAATTGGACTTTTCAGCCTACAGTTCCCAGAATGCTCCAGGCAGCCTTCCCCATAGCTAAAAATAGAAATAGTTGCATTTGTATTACTTTAAAAAAGTGAAAAGGAAGAGATCTGAATCTTGTCAGGACAACACCCCAATGAGCACCTGAGCCTGGGGGAGTCACTGAAACTTCGCCCCCTTCTCAGATTCAATAAAAGTACCGCTATATTAAATGAGGTCGCACCCCCATAACTATAAAACTAATCCAGAATTTATTATTTCTATTACAGTGCAAAATAATTCACTTTATATCTTGTTAAGTCACAAGGGTCAGGTTCTAATTGAATATTTATGCTGGTGTGATTGCAACAGCCTCACTTTGAGTTATGCCCTTTCACTTCTGGTGGCATAAATATTCAACTGGGTTCTTCAGGCGGGTAGGAATGTGGTTTAATTATGCTTTTGTCATTCAAAACAGGCATGAATTACAAGTCATTGGTGTTTGTAACTGGTCTCTTCAGAGCTCTGAAGAGGTGTTACGCTCAATCGGACCCTTGCTCCATTTTCTAGCACGTGATTGTGTTTCCTGCTTCAGTGAGGGAATAAATAAATCAGGTCCTTCCTCCAGAGACACAAAGATTGATACCACCCACAAGATGCAGATATTGAGAAACCAGACTTACTTCCCCTTTCCAAACCAGTTGCCAACACACGTCACCACTGAAGGCCAGCCAGTTGTCTGAGCCAAGCCGTTGAAAAGCTAGGTGAAGATGAGAGGAAGAAAGAAACACAGTTAGCGAGACATCAGGGGACATTTGGGCAGAGCCTTGTTGTGGGAATAGCAATATCTAGTCCTTCCTGTCCTGTAGGATTTCAGGGAAGAAGATAATGGAGTTTGGAGAAGTTGCCTTTCAGACGCCCATTCCTGCAATTCAGTGGGGCCATTACTATTTTGCTTTAACGGCCAACGGTTCTGTTGTCCACAAAGCCCCCCAACACCCCTTTGGAAGCACCGGTGTGCATGGCTAGGGCTACAGTGATCCAATGATCCACTGCCAACTGGTGGTCCACATCCTGAACAAGTTCCACCATATAAACACAAACTCTTCCTTGCGCCTCCTTAACCACTGAGAGAACTTCAGACCTGAAATTCCATTTCAGGGAGGAGAGAATTCCAATCAAGGATGCAAAACCTCTACGCTTTGTCTTCCAGCACTCCCGATTTCCCCAGGAGCACAACTTCCCTAAACTACTGCACCAACCGGTTGGGAAACTCGCTCCAAAAATGTATGGCGAGAAAAAAGCATCGCCATGACTTGTCATGGAGGCAGTTTCAAAGGGCAGAAAATAAGTAGGAGGAAAATTCCATGGGACTGTTTGCTTAATTGGTAGTAAAAATAGCACTATATGATACAACGCAACAAGGCTGGGATATTCTTTATGTGCTGCTCATAGATACCAACAAGATGCCTTTCCCGTATTGCTATGCAAATGAAGGTGCTCAAAATGGCGTCTAACCATGTAGTCTACTTCTCTGTAGCTCTAGGAAAGTATTTGACCTAGAAACGAGTGGAGTTAATGCAAGATTGAAAAATGTTTTGCGTAGCTTTGCTTCAATAATAGTAACCAATCTGCTCTCAAGTCAATTCTGAGGTATAGCAACCCTTTCCAAGGTTTTCCAGGTAGAAAGTATTCAGACATAGTTTTCCATTCCCTTCTTCTGTGGCTGCCTTGGGACAGTGTAGCTCATGCATGGCCACACAGGCTGGCTGTACAGTACATGCAAGAGGCATAGTGGGGAATCAAACTCCCAACCTTGCCTCCTAAAAATGTTGTACTGGGTATTTTCATTCCAGTGAGAACTGAATTAAAATCAAGGATGCAAAACTTAAGAAGTTTCCTCTTCTTGCTGTTGTTCCTGCTGGAGTTTCTGCAATCTTACATGCTGCCTTTAGTAGGTGTGGCTGGGAGGATCTTTTCTGGGCTGGGCTGGCTATCAATGTGTCCAGTACTAACCAATAGTTCCCTCTTGCCTCTGATTGAGGCCTTTTGCTCAAATAACTCAAGCTTTTAGCTTGCTGTTAATCCGTTCACCGTAAGTAAATGAAACATTTTATTCTTTCTACTTCAAAAGTCTCAGAGTGAGTTATTGAGACGGTAAATGTCAGTTGAGGAGGAAAAAAATGTGGTCCACTCAAGGGAACCTGAAACTATTCTTCTCTGTGAATTCCTGCACTTCTGCTGTGCAGTTAGAGTAATTTAATCAAAAATACAAAAAAATATTTGCAAGTTTTTCTCCCACTTGAAGCCAGAGGTTATCATAGCTGTTCTGACTCTAGATGGGAAAACCTTAAATAATTTTATTTTGTTGCATCCAAATCAATCTCTTTAGGATTTTTTTAAGCTACAACTTTCTCCTTCTCCTGCTTCTTTTCCCACTTATTTTACCTAGAACAATTAATTATCTGTAACCATCTGTAGCTTTTGGTTTTCATTTTGTCCCTGACATATCCTAATTTCTTACAGTTTGTGTGTTATATAGCTTTTCATTCATTCACCCTCATCATAATAGCACTGTTGCCGCCATCTTGACATTTCGCATTGCTCCCTAGAAAAGGAATCCATCTGCTCTAGACTGCTTTCTTTCACTGTGGAAACCCTGGTGCATTCTATGGGGTCTGCAAGAAGTGTTTTTGATGGTAAAGTTTGAAGTAGATAGTCTAGAACTGAACCCTTGGCTGTAGAAGTCCAGCATACTAACTTAGTTCTCATGCTGTCATCTCCCCCCCCTTAGCTAACATCAGACAAATATGCATAAATTAAATTTTGAAACTGCACCTATTTCTTTTTGAGCATGTTTTTTCTCCCTGAAAGCGCACTTTTTGTGTGTCATTTCACACTGTAGAATGCTCTACAGCAGACTTCAGCAAAGTGCGGCCCAAGGGCCACATACGGCCCGCGAGCCACTCTTATCCAGCCCACGGACAGTTTTGAACATCAAAACCATTGATGGCTTTTTGTCTTAAAGTTTATCAGTTGCTTATCTTTAACATACCACAAAAAACCTCTTTAGTATTTGTGAAGATTAACAAGTTTAAAATAAAAGCAATCATAACATCACTGTTTCATTTTATTTTTAAGTAAAGTTGGTTCAGCCCCCGAACACAGTTCAGATTTTTCATGTGGTCCCCTTATAGAAATTACTTGCCTACCCCTGCTCTACAGTGCTGACTGGCCAGTGGCTTCACTGATCAACCAAACCCCCCCCCCTTTTTTTGCAGAGCTCAGCATTGTTTGGTTGGCCCTCCATTCAGTTGGGAGTACTTGTCAGGCAAATGAATGAAATATATACACATAAGCAAAATCAGATTGAGGTGGGAAAACTGTTTTTGAAAAAAAAACCTATTTGCCCTCCATTCAGTTGGGAGTACTTGTCAGGCAAATGAATGAAATATATACACATAAGCAAAATCAGATTGAGGTGGGAAAACTGTTTTTGAAAAAAAAAACTCTATTTGTTCCTGTTTTGAAATTCCTCTGCATGAAGGCCTCAGCATTTTTAAGAAGGAAAATTAAGTTATGGGTTTGACTTCATGTTAATAGGCCATGAAGCAAGGTCCACACCCACACAGTGGAAGAGTTTAAACATGCTTGTTATGGAATGATTCATCAGTTATTCAAGGACTCATGTGTCAGCGACGGCTTGGTAGCAACACAAGCACTTGTCTTAGGATGCAGGAAACAGCTCATAACTAGGACTGACCTCCCTTATGCACTCTTGAATGTAGTGGAGAGGTAGTCTGTGCCTCTAACTCAGTTGTTCCCAATTTGGGTGCAGGTCCACACCCACACAGTGGAAGAGTTTAAACATGCTTGTTATGGAATGATTCATCAGTTATTCAAGGACTCATGTGTCAGCGACGGCTTGGTAGCAACACAAGCACTTGTCTTAGGATGCAGGAAACAGCTCATAACTAGGACTGACCTCCCCTATGCACTCTTGAATGTAGTGGAGTGATAGTCTGTGCCTCTAACTCCGTTGTTCCCAATTTGGGTGCTTTGGGACTAGAACTCCCAGAAGCCTTCACCACTACCTGTGTTGGCCAGGATTTCTGGGAGTGGTAGTCCAAAAACATATGGGGAACCCAGGCTGGGAACCACTGCGCTAGACCAATCTTATTGACTCTGACTTGAGATCAGCAGTGAAGGGCTTCTGGCCAAAGTACAGTCGTGCCTTGCACAACGGGCGCCTCGTAGAGCGATGAATTTGCTCTACGAGGCCGGTTTTGCGATCGCAAATGCGATCGCAAAACGGTGCCTGCATAGGGCGAAAATCACAGAGCGAAGGGCGGTAAGTGGTTCGCTTACCGACCTTCGCTTTGCGACCTGCCGATCAGCTGTTCGGTGGCTACAAAATGGCTGCAGGAAGCCCCAAAATGGCAGCGCGCAGCGTTTTCGCGCCCTCGTAAAGCGAGAGGAGGCTGCCAGCCATCCTGAAGGATCGCTGAACGGTGAGTATTCGGCCCAATTGGAACACATTAAACCATGTTTAATGCGTTCCAATGGGTTTTTACGTTCCGTTCAACTATGCTTTCACACAGCGAGGGTTAATCCGGAACGGATTAACCTCGCTGTGCGAGGCATCACTGTACTTCCCATTACCCTAATCCTTTTGACTGAACATGGGACCTTCTGCTTGCAAAACATTTGCTCTGAAAAGCTGATGGCTTGGCTTAGGCCAGAGGTTGGAAAAATTATAGCTGCTATAGCCCAAAAAAGGAACTTTTTTCAGCCTGTGTCCCATTGCAGTAATTAAGTCAGTAGCAAGGTTTGCTGAGAGACTCAGTGTTGCAGTCCAAAAAAGTAACTTTTCCAAGCTCTGGATTAGATCCATGGGAGAATGACTTTGCAGTGTCCTATTTTCAAAAGAAAAAAAAGGGGGGGGCGAGGGGGAACAAACATCACCTATTCAAAGCCTCTCTCAGAAATAGCAGGGTACATACAGTGTTTCCCTGAAAATAAGACAGGGTCTTCTATTAATTTTTGCTCCAAAAAACGCATTAGGGCTTATTTTCAAGGGATGCTATTTTTTCATGTGCAGCAATCTACATTTATTCAAATACAGTCATGTCATCTTCTTCTGGTTGCTGCGCAATGGTGGAAGGTGGGATTTCTCTTAACTGGGGCTTATTTTTGGGGCAGGGCTTCTATGATGAGCATCCTGAAAAATCCTACTAGGGCTTATTTTCACGTTAAGTCTTATTTTCAGGAAAACAGGGTAGGTAGAGTCTAACTAAATCACAGGCTTTTGTTACAGATAAACAAGTAACACAGGTCAACAAACCAAATTGGGTAACATCTTCAACCAGTAGTTCCTCCATAATTCAACCTAACTACCCCTCATTTGACTGCAATGTGTCATTCTGATATACACAGTGAAGATGGAAAAACAGACAGCATCCTGCTCTAAGTTTTTCCAGTGTCTAAATATATCTGCCTTCTGGTTGTCCAGCCGTCATGTGACAGCTGAATCTACAGAGCTGGGCATCAGAAACACTTTTTCCATGGGAGACAGGGTGCCCCGGGGTGGGTGGGGAAGGAAGAAACATCCACTCAAAAGGGGTGATAGAGTCTTTTAATACCTGCTTAGAACCCTTTTAATAGCTGCTGAGATGGCAAAAGAGCTGGTCATGGGCCTCAGAACTCAATGACTGACAAGGGAAGGTCTGGCCAAGGGGACCTTAGCAAGAAGATCCTAGGTCAGTGGTTCTCAAACTTGGCTCCACATATGTTATTGGACTGCAACTCCCAGAAATCCTGACCAGCATAGCAAATGGTGAAGGCTTCTGGGAATTGTAGTCCAAGAACATCTGGGGACCCCAGTTTGAGAGCCATTGTCCTAGGTCAAGGCTGCTTGGAAGCTCTGTTGACAGAAGTAACTGATGAAGGCATTATCCGTGTAAGTCCATTGTGAGAAATGTTTCTTTACAGCCGGCTTTCTCAGCCCATGGTTTTCCAGAGATGTTGGAACAACATCTCCCATCATTCTAACCAGGAATAATGGGAGCAGGAGTCCAACAAAAGGCAACTAAAAGGCCCACCCTAGTTCAAGAAGGTTGAAACAGTAGCTCCCGGGAGTAGCCTCCTTAATAGGAGGCCCAAATCAGGCATGAATGGCAGGGCAAATCAGGGCCATGAAGCTTTCCAAGAATGTTGCACAGAAGCTCAACGCCGCCCACTCTCCATCCCCAGTATAAAGCTGTGGAGAGAGAATGACAGTGGAATACACAGGACATCTCCATACCTGCACAACCACAAAGTACCAGAGTTGATGGATGTTCCAGTAGTAGCCGAGGCCAAACAAAGCTGTAAACAGACCACTCAGGATCATGCCCGCGGAGAGGTAGTAGCGCAATGGGAGGCGCTCCCCGAAAATCCCGCTGTGGGAAATGGTAAGGAACAGTATATCAGGCGCAAGACTTGGGTCTCGAAAGATCAACTTAGAATAATCAAAGGACACAGTTGGAGCCGGAATGCCTGCTTTGGAGGCACAGAAGTTCCAGATTCAATCCCCGGTATCTTCCTCTAGTCAAGAATATATGCTGAGTATAGGAGATCCTCCTTATTTATTTATTTATTTATTTACAAATAAAGAATATTTTAAACACAGCACTGTAACTTGGACCCTCCATTTTAGGTGCAGGGAACATGACTGTCGGACTGCAGTACCCAAGCGCTTAGCTAAAGCAGCCAATGGCAAGGGATGCTAGATGCTGAACATCTGACGGGCCACACCTTCCCCATCCTGCTTCCTTTTGATATGCCTCATGTACAGGCAGATCATTGGTCTGTCCGGCCCTGTCTTCTGGTTGGTAGATCTCTTTGCTGAGTTTATTGATGGAACCTGAAGGACGTCAATGATTAAACTTGAGATCTGTCACATGCATAGCCAGCGCAGACACGGATTTGAAAAAAGCCCCAACAGAACACTTTTAATAGCTGCTTAGATGACAAAAAAGCTGGCCATGGGCCTCAGCAAACAGAATCCATCATCCGTTGACACTTTACGCCCTCCATTAGCCTATTTCTTAGCCATCTGCTGTCGTGACTGGAAGTTTGAGAAACTGAGTATCTCTGTATTGTTTTCTTCCCGGCCAAGAAGAGAGCTGATAGCTTCTCAGGTGTGGCTGGGTAATCCAGTGTTATGGATTTGTCCTAAGAAGACCTCTGGGATCATTTGCTGCCTTCTTTTAACAACCAAGTGGACAAGTTGCTGACAGAACTCCATGACAAAGGATAGCAAGCGAGCGAGGCTGTTGCTGAAGTTAAAACAAGACTGAGGCTCCATTGCTGAGGACAAAACTGAAATTAGAAGAACTGCCTTTTGAAATCTGACAAAAGACTACCTGAAGTGCAGCGTTTGGTTTCTAAAAGACAGCGCTGGCCCTCTCATGAGGCAGGATGAGGCCACCTCTAAGAAAGGGATTTTTCCTGGTTCTGGAATGGTCACATCCAGAATTCTGGGGGCCAAAGTCACCCCCTCAAGCCCTCTCAAGAATTTGATAGAACTTACAGCTTGTGCTGTAAGTGAGGAGGGGGAATCCCTCCATTTCCGGGTTTTTAAGCAGAGGAACTGTCTGGGCAAGGCGAAGCCCTGTGGTGCTACAAAACATGAGGGGTACTGTAGTCTCCTGTCCTCTACGGTCTGTGCAGGGTGCTCCCAGGAAACAACAGGACCCTTACTTCTTGGCAGTGCAACAGGGCTTAGCTAATGGCCTTTTTACCATTCCACCAGAATTCCCAGGCCATTTCTATCTTGGAAGACAGCACTGTGTAAGTCATACAGTTGGTACTCTTAACTCCAGAAATTGGCACAGAATCCTCCTGAGGAGTGGGATACATAGTGCTCCATAGCTTTTAAAGCACACCCCTGGGTGGTTTACAATTTAGTTATGCAGGCTACACATTGCCCTCCGCCAGCAAGCATTACAACTCAATGCGAACATTGAAGTAACACTCAACTGTCACTCCAGTCATTCTTCTCCTTTGCCTCTGGCAGCAAAATCATCATCATCTTAGAAGCAGGACTGGAAGGGACCCTATAGATCATCAAATCTAGCCCCTGTCTAGGAGGCATAGTGGGGAATTGAACTCTCAACTTCTGGCTCCACAGCCAGAAACCTCAACTACTGAGCTATTCAGCAGCTGTATCATGAGCTAGCTTTTGAGTTTGGACAATCAATTTCTTTGGACTACAACTCCCAGAATCTCCCAACCAGTACAGCCACTCACAGAGCTTCACTCAGTAGGACTGCTGTTCCCTCTACCACACCTCAGTCACCAGTCCTGTCATTATTTTATGCAATCGAGGAAAAAGGAAGGCTTCTCTCGGTTCATCAACATGAGCAATGCTTGCTGTTGGACTGCAACTCCCACTCAGATACACTGGGGTGGCATCAAATGGGCATCCTGTGGACTGCAGGATGCTTACAGCCCTCAGGGCATTTTTGCATCCCCCAGGCCACCAACTTTGAGGACCTTGGACATTCCCCCATGACTCTTTCATCTACACAAAAAATCCAAAACAGAATCCAGAAATCACCTGGTCCTTCTTGTCTTGTTTAACCAGCCTTTTTTGGCCATTCGCTGGAGGTTAAACTGCAGAAACCTCTGTGCTGCAAGGTTAGAAGACCTGCAGTCGTAAGATCGAATCCACCCAACAGAGCGAGCCCCCATCGCTTGTCCCAGCTCCCACCAACCTAGCAGTTTGAAAGCATGCAAAATGCAAAAATGCAAGTAGTACCACCATGGTGGGAAGGTAAATGGCGTTCTGTGTCTAGTCACGCTGGCCATGTGACCACGGAGGATTGTCTTCGGACAAATGCTAGCTCTAATGGGTTGGAAATGGAGATGAGCACCACCCCTTAGAGTCAGACACAACTGGACAAAATTGTCAAGGAGAATCTGTACCTTTACCTAGGCTTGCCATGGCCCTTGGCAACATCTGGGACCTCAATTTGGACACCAAGACCACAGAGATTCTTCACCCCTGCTTTACACTGACTCTGCTGGCTAGAGCTGATGGGAGCTGCAGTCCAACAACGCCCTTGAAGCCATCCATTCTCCACCCCCAATTTGAACTTTGCCTGAGCAAAGACCTATATTGTGTCCAAACCCCACACTTTCTCCCTAGTGACTACCATGTTTATCCTCCAGTCTGCAGGGAATGGTTAGACTGATGTCTCGTCATGTGTCAATGTGTCCTTGCTCTCAATCCTGGGGAAAGGGTGTGTCTGAACACGGCTCCATGAGAAGGCAGGTCTACGTTCCTCTCCTTCCTGCATTTTGAGTACCTACCTGATATACATTCCTACAGCATAGGCCACCAGGAAAGCATTGTCCAGAGCCCCAAAGAGTTCCTTATAGTTGTCCTGATCTGGAAGAAGAAAGGGTGGCACCTGTTAAAGGCTGATTCTGTAGGAGGCTCACATTCAACAGGAATACTCAAATTCATAAGAGGCCTAAAGGCCTGAAATCACCAAATTTGAACAATTGACCAAGGCACAAACATCCGCCCTGGGAAAAACAGTCTCTGTCTCCTGACCAATCGCAGGCAAAGCTGGCTCCAAAGGCATTTGTCGATTCCAAGCGAACTTCCTACATTTGGGGCACCTGCTTTCATATTAATCGGTTTATGGAAAAGCTCTTGAGAACAGCTTCCTCTCCTGCCTCCTCATGTGGTACAGTCCCTCCGTGGGGCTCCATTACTAGCTCTTTTTAATTTCACCTCAATGCCATGTCTCTCTGCATTTCATCTCCAGGTTTATTTTCTGCAAAGAAGCAATATTAAGAACCTGTCACACACAGTCATTGCAAGAGTCAGGAAGATTAAAAAGACTATGAAGCACAATTGCATGTTAATACAGGGCCACATGAACAATAAATAGTAACTATAATGACACTACCGTTCCCTTATTTCCTCTTCTCCTTGCTGTCACAGGGCCACATGAACAATAAATAGTAACTGTAATGACACTACCATTCCCTCTTATTTCCTGTTCTCCTTGCTGTCCCTTTTATATAAACTACTGCTCCTGAGCGCCCACTTGGTGCCACTTTCTACCTTTCCTGAAAAACTCAGATCAGTTGACATGGCCTTTGGTTGGCCCTCTGAATCCTCACTCTGATCCGTGGCCAAGCTCTAAAGCAGGCTTAACTGCTTTGGCCCATCTTTGTCCCTCTCTACCCTTGGTGGAGGAGCAGAATGTGGCCAGTTCAACCTTCAGCATCTCCACTTAAAAGCAAAGGGTTAGAAAGTGTTGGGAAAGGTTTCTCTCAACCTGAATCTTTGAACAGGAGGTCAAAGTCGATGCTATATGGTGGGTTGGGCACAGTATAGGGAAGATTCCTATTCTCCCTTCCTTCATTGTTTCTCTCCTCTGTTGTCTGCTTTAGCGGCAACCTGTCCCATTTTATTCAAGCAACATTGAAAAACCACTTTCCCCAACCCCGTGTTTTCTAGATGCTTTGAACAACCCTTTTAACACTGTGATGGATGTGGCTAACGGCAGATATTTAGAAGGCATCATATGAAGGGAGGTTGTACACCTGACGGCACACTAGAATCAATCATTTTTTGAACAATAAAAGAGTCACGTGCTCCATTTAGTGGGTTCCAAAGCAAAGGTGGGCAACTTGTGCCCCCCAGGTGTTACCGAGTTACAACTCCTTACCAACCCTAGCTAGCAGAACCAACAATGAGAAACACTTAAGAGACATACTTTACCCATCTCTTGTTTCTAAGTCTAAGTCAGGGATGGGGAATGTGTGTCGCTTCAGATGTTATTGGGTTTCAATTCATAAAATTCATCAGCGTTGGCTGAGTTGGGGTGATGGGAGAGGCCAACCTTCAGCATCTCCACTTAAAAGCAAAAGGGAATGTGTGTTGCTTCAGATGTTGTTGGGTCTCAATTCACAAAGTTCATCAGTGTTGGCTGAGTTGGGCTAATGGGAGTGGTAGTCCGACAACATCTTAAGAGCCACAAACTGTCCACCTCTAGCCTAACTGCACTGGGAACCACCTTCAAGCAATCTATAATGAGGCTCATAATACAAATAATGGAGGGTTAGATAAGCCAGGTTGTAAAATCTATGTAAAATAAACCATTAGCCTATAAGGCATTTTATTTGGGTTATTAAATATGACTTAAGTAGGACTGAAGTATAGAGAGAAGATAAAGGCCACAGTGTCACCTACAATTTCTAGGAAGGGGGCCCTGTATCCACATTTCAGAGTTCCTGGAAATAAAGTTTGTGTCCTAATGGAGAAACACTATCCACGCCCCACGGGAGAAAGAATAGCTCTAAAAGCCACCTGGGAAAAAAGGAAAACGGCTGATAGCATTTTCATATCTATTAATACAAGAACTAGCCTCCTACCAAGCTAGGCCATTGGCTCACCTAATCCAGTCTTATCGGATGGGCAACAACACTGCACAACTTCATACAGAAGGGTTCTGCACCTCCACCTAGAGATGCCAGCTCCCCCCCCACACACACACACACCTTCACTTGCAGACACCAGATCTTGAACCCTGGACCTTTTGCATGCAAAACATGATCCCCAACACTGAGCCACCACCTTCCCCTGCAGGACCACAGAAAGCTTCCTGATACCTTCCAACTATTCACCTATGTGGGTCACAGAATAGGCCCAAGCTTGGGGCCATCCAGAAATCGATGAAATAATGCTCCCATCACAGCTCACCATTGGCCAAGCCAGCTAGATGACAAGAAATAGAGAGCAGCACTATCCTGGAAGATCACAGATCCATCAGCCCTGATATACGTGGTCTGCCAGTTCAGGATCTTTCCCCATGGGTCGAATCTGTGAGCTTTTTCAAGCACAACAAGAGCACCACTCTAAGCTATACACAGTATGCTATTCTTTGATTCTCCTCCAACAATGGCACAGCCAAGAAGGTGCCCACTCTTTCCAAAGGCTGGCCATTCTAACTGGGGGATCCTGGGTGCTGTAGTCATTCTGATTCTTTCAGTGAAAGAGGTACAACAAGACAAGCGTCTTACCAAAGGGCTCCCAGTCACACCACGTCGTGCTGTTTGAACCATTGTTTGGATTGGGTCCTCGTGAGGAACAATTATAATGCAGCTCACTCTGGCAAAAGGGAAAAGGGAAAGGACAGGCTTGTATTAACATTATGATTATGATTATGATTATAAACAGTGTTTTCAATACATATAGGGGTTTAAGAAGTACGTGAGGGTAGTCCCCTGCCTCAGGAAACTTGTAATCTAAAAATGGCAGAAGAAAATAACAGAGCAATGGTAGGAAAAGTGATGCACAGCTCACAATAGTGGAACACATGTTCAGTTCTAGCACATCTCATATTTTCTCCATGTAAACCTCCCTGTACTCCAGAGACCATGTTCCCAAGCAAGCATTTATACCACTGCTGGGGAAGGTGAGGATTTCCAGATGTTGCTGGACTACAATTCCCACAATCCATGCTGTCTGCGGCTAGTGGACAACATCTGGAGAACCCCAGGTTCCCCACCCCTGGTGTCAAGGATTGTAGACTATTCCAAACATCCATTCCCCGCATGTTCAAAATACGCTTCTGACTGCCAGGGCTTTGTGCTACTTACCTTTACAATACTAATGGGTTTCCGTGAGAGATGGAAAGTGGTATAGCATAGGAAGGTCAGCATAAGAATTAGTCCTCGATACCTAAAAAAGACCATATGAGACTGTGAATGGAAAACAATGAAACCTTAACAACATGTTTGTGGGTTGAACCAATACATAGAGAACACCAGCCAAGACTGCTTGGTTTTCCAATCACCTTGCAAGCATCTCTCCTATATCAGGTATGGGCAGATCTTAGGAGAAACTAGAGTGGATTCCCTAAATATGTTTGGCTCCAAGAATGTTTAAAATGTTTAGTGCACAATCTTTAAACACATGTAAGCGTCACTGAACACAATAAGCTTCACTGAACACAATTAAATACCTCTGGAAGCATGTAGAATTGTGCCACTAAGAAGCCTGTGTTTGGACTGGGTCCTTCTTTGCTTGTTTTATGTATATGATCTAAAATATTAGTATTTATGCATTCATCCATATGCATGTTATTTCACAGGTCATGCATTGAATTAGAACCTGTAATCATAACTTTTGGATTATATGCATTTCGTATTTTCCCAAACGTTGGCAAGTTGAAGAGAAACGGACACACACGTTGGTTGTCAACCTCATTAAACACAATGGTATTTGCTCCCAAGTAAACCTGAAAAGGGTTGCAGCATGAGTTAACTCATGAAGAGCTTGAGAGATGGAGAAACGAAGCCTCCAATGTCAAGACGTGGGAATCAGGGTTTGGAAAAGAGTTAGGAATCGGAGCTTTGACATCTACAACTGCCCAAATCTTGCCTGCCAATGTGAGGATGCTGGCTGCCAATTCTAGGAATTGTAGCCCTTGAAAATATTTTCCAAGTTCAACAGGGATCTGCCCTATAGGGAGCCAGACGGTTTGGTCCATCAGGCCCAGTAAAGCTGACAGTGACTGGCAACAGCTCTCCAGGGTTTCAGGCTAGTTCGCTTCCAACCCCAGCTAGAGATGCAAGGATTAAGACCATGATGTTCTGTGTGCAATACCTATGCTAATCTACAGAGCTGCAGCAACCCCTATTCGAAAGCAGCAGCCTACACGCCAGCCAACTGTTGTCCTTTGCTTCCTCTTTTTCTCATGCAAGAAGAAAGAATGTCTCTCCATTCACCATTGTAAGGCAACCACAACAAACAACTCTAAGCATGTTCTCAAAGTCACATGAGAACAGTGGTGGCAATTCAGATATGTGAAGACAGCCTTCTGTGGTCAGTAAGGGCCAAAGACTCACTCATTCCATCCTCATAAGAAAGAAGGATATCAGCGCCTCACAAGACCAAGCTTATCAACGTGATGTGAGATGAGCAGGATATAGCACTTCAGCTTGTCAAGGGCACTCAGAAAGAAGCAACACCAGACAGTCTGCAAGGATCATGTGGAATGAGGAGGAATGGTTAAGCATAGAGAGGACCCACCTGTGCTTTGGATTCCCCAAAGAGGAAAGAAGGACAAGGGACCAGAGATCAGATAATGGGAAAGTTCAGACATCAGGGTAAGCCAAAGAAAGATTCAGAGAACCTGGATAGACCAGTTAAGAGGGAGCAATTGGGATCTAAATGTTATTTTCTCAGGGGTGGCTCATGAGATTTGGACTCTCCCTACTTCATACAACTACTACACATGCCAGGCCATCTGCTTCTTATGGATCATATGCAGCTCAAGATTCTTATACTCTGTTACTACAAACATCAAACAGTTGCGCAGAGCTGTGGTTTACAGCAGCAGCAACAACAACAGCAAGTTGTGTTCCATGCAGAAGCTTCTTATATACACATGTTCCTTCTTAAACCTTTGCTTTTCTCTCTCTCTCTCTCTTATCCACTTGCTCAGCCCCTGCTTCTTATACTGTACATCTGTTTTGTTTTAAAGCAGAAGTGAAACCGACAGCACAGAGAAAACTAGAAGCAGCTGTTTTGTTCCTAAGTGGACAGAATAGGATTTCCTTGCTGTGTCAGCTTTCTGAGCTTCTCTTCAGAGCAGTGTCTGGTACTTTAAAACAATAGATTTGTTTGACAATGTTGCCTTGTTGCAATGAAGCATGCCAATACACCCTTCCTTGTAAATACTGTATGTCAATTACACTTTATAGGAGCTTCCGAATCGGTCCGATTTCCTTCACTTTAAAGATCTCTGTTTCCCTGTAAGTAAATGGAAAGGTGTAGAAATAGCAGGGTGTTCAGAAATGATGCATCTGTTGAAAATTCAAGGGTTACCTCAACATCTGATGATTAGAGGAGCATATTGGTATATTGATTATTTGTACAGACAGCTGTCTACAGAAGCTACACTCCACACATCTGGAAAAATAGAATGATAGAATAATCGGTTTGGACGGAGCTTTTAAGGCCACTGAGTCCAACCCCTTTCTCAATGCAGTAATCCAAACTAAAGTATATCTGACAGGTGATTGTTTAATTTTCTCTTGAATGTCTCCAGCACTGGAGTGCTCACCACCTCACAAGGTAATTGGTTCCACTGTCATACTGCTCTAACAGTTAAGAAGTTTTTTCCTGATGTTTAGCCTAAGATTGGCTTCTTATAGCTTGAGCTCAATTCTCTTACCTGGACCCACTGGGGTTGAAGCTGGGACTTTCAACAAACAAACCGTTTGCTTTAAACAAACGACTCTGGTTCCTGCTTTCTGTACTAGTGTCTGCTCAAAACTTCAGATTTTCCCAGTGTTTACTGAATATACACAGCTAAGCACAGAATATCAGGATAAGAAAGAGCTGCAGCTGCAGCTGGAATGCTTACTTAGAGTTAAAGAAATCTATTGGCATCCTCCTTGAAAGGAATTGCCTTCCCATGTTCATAGGCTATCAACAAATTGCTTAGAATCAAGGCTATGTGACGGGTCTCTAGATGTTTACCTAGGGATCACAGACAATGTTCGTTCAAGATAACAGAGAAATCATATTCTGGTTTTGACGTCTGCACACCTTCAAAGATCGAGACCTCATGTCTGCATGGAAAATAATGACCTGCCTCAACATAAACTTTGAAACATAATTGCCCGGAGCCATATGGAGGCCATGAGATTCTTTGCCTCCTCTTGGTCATCATCTATTAAGAGACAAGCTTCAGTTAAGACTGATGGCATAGCACAACGGTGTCTACCAAAGCCACAGTTCTTGGGCAGCTGTATTTCTGGAATGCAGGGAGCAACATATGCCATCATAGGAGCAGCTTCATCAAACAGCAAGTTATACAGGGATGATGGGGAGGCTATTACTTGATGGAGTAAAAAAAGGTTTCTGCTGCTCCATCCATCAGGATCTGAACCACATGTGTTCAAATAACAAGATGGGGCTACTGATTTGGCATGAGGAAGATTTCAAATGTTCCCCAACATACTGGGTATACTCGGGACAATGTGTAATTCACAGAGAGTGATTTATGGCTGTCAATCTGGAAAGCTTTAAAAATGGGCTACATAAATTCACAGAGGACAGAGTCTTCATGGACTATTAGACAGAACTTGTAGTTGGGACAGCTATATACCAAGTATATTGGCATTACACAGAGCAGTTTGATAACACTTTAATTCTCACTTCTAGGTGGGTATTTTGGAGAGGTAATAAGAATTTCCTGCTAGAGAACTCTAGTGCTGTAGTTCAATGGAGTACATTAGAGCATTTCTAGTAGAGCATTCAAGCTCCCTCATCAAACCACAAACCCCAGGATTCCACCAAATGAATCTATAAGAGTTAAAGGGGTACCAAAGTGCTGTACCAGTTTGGAATCTGATCAGCGATTATAAATGTTACGTCTTCAGACTACAACTCCCCGAATTCCCAGAGTCCAAAAAAGTAACATTTCCAAGCTCTGGATCTGATTACGGATCCAATACGCCACCCCCTCCTGTCCTGTCACAAGCGGTGGGGCCAACAGCATATCTTTTGTGTTGCTCCTGAAGTCCATTCATTTAAACCCTTCCTTTAACACAACTACCGAAGGCGCTGGGAGCCTGTTCGCCTCTGCACTGAGTGTATAATTAGCCTCAACTTGGAGAAGTGGGCAGTTCTTAGAAGGGGCCTGGCTGTACCACAGCTGGAGTTTTCCTTCTCTTAATTAGGGAACAGAGGAGTCTGCTAAAAAGGACTCCAAGGAGGCGTTTAACAGCCTAATTGTAATGGGGAAGGGAGGTCTTCATATTGGAAGGGTAGGATTAACTTGTCCCTCTCCCCCCCCCCACATGCACTTCAATCAGGCTTTTAAAAGCCTCCGCTGCCACCAATAGAGACTTCTCAAAGGCCTCTCCTGCAGCTGGGAGAGGAGGGGAACTTCCTTATCTCTCATCACTGAACAGAGATAAGACCAACAGGAAGCTAGTAGGCTGCATGAGGACCTCCCGGGGCTGTATGTGGCCCACAGAGGGAGGTTCCTTGTTCCTGAATCAGTCTGTAGGCAATTGAGACAGTTTGTACTGACACAGTGGGTTGAAAACTCAAGTAAGAAAGTTAAGGCATGTTACTCTTTTACAGAGACCACCTGGATATGTGGGACTCTGTTTGAAGGAAGATCTGGAGTAGGAACGCCCATTTGCTGAGTGAGATTCACATCAGGAGGGCCTCCTCCCTCGCAGCTGTGATTGTCTGGAAGCTGCTTTGAAGAGGCAGTGTTGAATCTGGAGGAGGCATCATTGCTAGGAGCCCCCAATCGCCATGTCTTGCATGGACCTTTGAACTCTCCTTGAAATCCATTTAAGCCAGCAGGGCCATTTCTGTTTCCAGCAGTAGCCCTATTTGGATGTTCTATCCAGGCTGGCACTGTGAATACACTTAAGCCAGCAGCACATACTGCGGCCCCCCTCCCTTGCTGCCCCAGGTCTGAAGAGACTCATCCGTAGGCTGTGCTCCTTTTTAGACATCTTCATATTGCCAATGTAAATAATGCCTACATAGGGCTATAGAGTTCTCACAAAAGAGCCTTTTCCAACCTCACCTTTCCTAGAGAAATTGGACTAAAAATCTCATCATCTCCCTTGGACTGGATGTGGCTGATGGTTGGTGTAGTCCAGCACATCTGGAGGCCACCCAGTTGGGTCAAGCCATTCCCTGTTTGATTGTGACCTTT